CCAATTGACCAAACCATACAAAAGTTGCTGAGCTTAATTTCCTTGTACTAATGTCTTATATGTATAGATTACAAAAATGGTGGTAACTAGTATACGCGACGCCTGAACCTCATCATTCATAATTACCGGAGAATTCTGAGTTGTAAACGCAAGGTACAAAACTAAAGGTCAAAGCTTCCAACATAGTAAAAAAATAAAAAAAAAAAATAAAAAACATTCTACCCACTTGCTTTCTGCTGCATCATCGGATTCAACATACAAACATCCCTTGTCCTTGTTCTACTCCAAGGATAGGGTGTTTGCAACTATTAAATTAAAGTACACTTTATGATTAACAATCAAACGTAAATTGGTCGATTGATGTATGAAAATGGATAGCATTGATAAAGCAAACAAAAGTCACGAGTTCATCAAGATCCAAGTACGATAATATGCACATGCATGTAGTATTCAATAGTACTTTTCCCCTTGGTTTATTTAAAAACCTTAAAGAGCAAATTAGGCCTTCCCCAATTTTCCTTGGCTGAGAAACCTATATGTGACCATATTTTCATAAATCAATAAAGCCATTGACTCAAAAACTTATGCAGCCCACATGCATGTATACATTTAGAAGGGTGGCATTGCTTAATTAATAATCACCTCTCAATCATCTTATGGCTGTATTTCTTTTGACACCCTTTTTAATCTACTTTCTATGACTCATCCATGATCTACATACCAAAATGAACATCATGAAAGATACATATGTTTCTTAATTGAGGAGGGGTCGAGACACTGTTGTCACGCACCCTCTATTTTGGACTCTCCCATAATATTTGGTTCGGAAGATAATCTTAGAGGCATCCAAATCGAACTGTTGAAACTCTTTTCAAAAAAGTTATTTTAAAGGGGAAAAAAAAGAAAAGAAAAACTCAAGGTCCACAATTATTAGTTTATTGAAAAAGGATGGCAAAAATGAACGTTTACATATGTATGAGAGTACTCAAATGTCAGAGGTGGAATTGGCTTTCTCTTCTTGATAGCAACTTTGATTATGCAATGATCGGTTATGGGTCGTGTGAATTTTCTTTCATACTTCGGATTACGTACATTAGCCTGAATCTTAGTCAAGGAACCATATTTGTCATTACTTGCTCACACAGTTAACCCCTTTTAAAATTTCTGGATCTCACATATATGATAATGATGATGATGATGAACTTGTATAGGATATATAAGTACACATACATCATGATCGCATTCATCTGTCTATTTGTGATCGATGTACTTATTTAATCTAACATGTCTAATTAATTTATTCTTCAGTTTACTAGTGACATGAAACAAAGTTGAATTAATCTCCTTGAGACTAATTTAATTCGATGTTGTACATGTATGCATGATAATAGGTTATAAGTTGTTTTTGGGTGCTTAGTCCCCTTTCTTGTATTGGAAAATAAATAATACTCCCTCTATTTCAAAATGTGAGTCTTTTTAGACTTTGCACATAAACTAAGGAGACGATCATCGAACAATTAATTTATATGTTAAATATCTATTTTACCCCTCATTAAATACATTGGAACTATAAACAAGACTAAATTGAAATAGATTAGTATCATTTACTGAGGGTAAAGTTAGAAAAATAATTATTAATTTACCTAGAATTTGTAAAACGATCTACATTTTGAAAAATCTCTCCAAACCTAAAACGACCTACAAATTGAAATGGAGGGAGTAAAGCAATTAATCTCACAAGATATGTAATATGTAGTTCACATTTCTTGTTGTAATGGTCAGAATGAGATTTTTTTTTTTTTGGGGGAGGAACCACAATCATAAATTGAAGCAAGTAGAATTTCATTTTTCATATAGAAATTCGACACCTAATTAGTTGAACTACATATGTTCTATAAGCTTGAGTTAATTTATAAGGAGACAGAAACAAAGTCTGGCGGAACTAGTTACAAATTAATTGCCTCCAAAGTGAAAGAATCAAATATCTTCTCTTGCAGCCCACAAAAAAGACACCTACATGACAGTGATGAAATAATGGAGGGTTATGGTCTTTTGACGAAGTGACACACATAAGTCGAGAATATTGATAGTTACACCATTACCTTTTCTTTTTTTTTTTTTTGATTGTTTAGTTAATAAATTATTTATGATCGAATCATTATCTCTTTGTTCAATGGCAAGATTTAATTGATTTTTTATATTAAAGAGATGGGTTGTGGGGGTCAAATGAACTAGGGTGCTGCAAATGAAAAACATGGGTCGTGATATATATGTTAAGCTCTTCTAGAGTAGAGATAAGAAAATGGACATCAAGAATTGACAAAAATTGGGACCCTAATTGGTCGATCATCAAACCGGCAACACGACCCCACCTTCATCTCTTCCCATGCATTGTTTTTATTGATTTCAAGGAAGATTTTGCCACCCAGGAAATAAAAAGTTACTACCAAACACCTGTAGCTCCCAAAGTTTCCTGTAGTTTTGGGCTACTTGTCGAATGTTTCTCTTTCCCCTTGTTGTCTCTGATTTTTTCCCCCTAATTTGCTTCAAATGTGAGTTTTTTCTATTGAGAGTCAATACGAGTAAGATTGAAATTAATATTCATTTCGTTTCAAATTAATTCTGCTTCTTTTAACAGTCTTCAAACCAGTGGTACGGTGCAATGATGAAATGATTACTGAAAACTGTTGTTTCACTTAATGATACAAATTGAAATTGATCCTGAAATATGAGACTTTTTTTTTTAAAAAAAAAAAATTCACTACAATGAACCCCACTTAAATGTAAGTAAAATCCCCCCTCAAAACTCTTGGTGGGAGTCGAACCCTAGTCTATCACCAGGAAAGACAACAACCTAACCACTAAGCTGTCATTCAAATTCCTCTCGAAATATGAAACTATTCCGTAGATTTTGCACAACATTCCTAATGATGGATAACCGAGCGGCGGTCCGTGCCGGCAAATTATTTTTCCCTCTAATCACTAATAAAGATATTTGTTAACTCTCCCATGCAACTTGATTATCCACGAGTTAGGACTACGCTTTTGCATGTCTTAATATGTATACTATTTTCATTGATTATTGTCTAAAAAAATAGTCTATCTTGATTTCTCATATTTATAATATTTTCAGTACAAATTTCAAAATTCAGTATGAACAATTTTATTTTATTTTTTGAGAGGAGTAGTATATTAAGTCATAACTTAATGAAAATAATTACCAAGTTTTAATAAGAATAAGGTTTATTGTTTCTGAATATATATATATATATGTATTGTTTTGTGATACACTGAATACAGCTGTTAAGGGAGTGTAGGGACCAATATAATGTACAGATTTTAGAAGACTAGGTCATCACATTAAGACCATATTTAAGATAATGACAACTATCACACACCCCCTAATCTCAATCTAGCATTAGTAATCAAATCATCTCACCTGTTTCTCTCTAGATCACTATTATGTGCCTAATCAAATCTCTTGATCTATAACAATCAATACAAGGAGTCATGTCTTCAGTACCACTTTTCTTCAATCGGTCCAAAAAATATTGGTAACATGGTTCACAAGTTTATCTTGTAAGAACCATGAGGTAATTCTCAGGCGAAAACAAATACTCGCATTCAAATTAATTTTCGTTCACCACAGGTATACATTGTACGCATCTAAAATTTTCCAAATAATTAGTTGTCCTAACACATGCTGTAATTATTTACTACAGTACAAACGCAATGCTCGTGTGACATCGTTTGGACAAGGTCCGAAAATTAATTCAACCTTTGGACACGACGAAAATTGTCTTCAAATTAAGACACCGATTAATCATGACTAACTCGACTGTCTAATTTCTCAATAATGATGCTGTGTGAAACTTATTTTACAATCGTTCTTCTTCTTTTTTTTTTTTTTTTTTCTTAGACACTAACAAAATGTGTCACATTTGATTGAGCTTACTGAGATAAAAAGCATCAGAGGGGCAAACTTATCAAAACCCTTTCCTTTTTTCTTTTTTTTTAATTGTGGCGTTTGCGAGAGTGTGCGGAGTGGGCCCACCGTAACTTCGACGTTGACACGTGTCCATCCATCTCCGGCTTGAGAATCACGCGTGTCGGTTAATTAAAGGCCTGATTTTCAGTTCACAAAGCCTCCCTGATTACGTCATACTCGGCTGTAATCACCTGCTTTCCACCCTTCCTAAACACCTACCCCCATCTCATCATTTCCTTACCCAACAATAATGACGGTTAAAAATTCTCGCTTTTAGCTGTCAAAATTTTATCCGCTATATAAAAAAAGGTTTCACCCTAAAATTATACTCTCCTCCCTTTTAAAATTTAGTCGCGCTTCAAACAATTAATTAATTTAAATCTACATATTTTTCTAATAAATAATTATCACTAAATTTAACTAACAACTTACTAGTTATTAAATTACAACATATTAGACGATATAAATTATGGTATCTACTTTTTTAAATCTCTTGTATATGTCCAAATTGATATATTGAATTGAAATGAAGAGAATATTTAAGTGCGGATGTATTTAACAATAAAATGCAGATTACAAGCTGTGTTATGGATTTTTTTTCCCACTATATCCTTATTTTTGTACAGTGAACCACACATCACTTATTAATTGATTTTATTGGAAAATGTATAGGCAAAGTTTGGATGACCCAAGTTTAAATTTCGATAGAAACAAGTAACAATAACTAAGTTGGCCCATAAACTCTGATACCAGATGCATAATATATACTTTATAAAAGGATGAAACAGACTTTTTCTGAAATAATAAAAAAATTGAAAGCAAGCTTTCACCCCGAAATTAATGTATAACGATGACGTTATTATTACTATAAAACGTGTAATTTTTTCGGGTTAAATCTGAGCCGTAAATGGGGGTGTTTTGATATCATCACGCGGTGGAAAACATATCATTGGATTAAAAACAAACAAAAAAAAACCGATGAGAAATGCACACAATATAACCGTGAACACCGTCTCAACAGTGTGGTCCGTACTAGTATAAAAATCAGAGCCCCCTTCTCTTTTGCCAGTAAGCTCAAAAAACAAAAATCAAAATTAACCAAAAAAAAAAAAAGAAAACCATTTGCTCTCTCTGTATTTTTTCTCCCATACACTTGACCCATGCTCTTCTTGTCTCATATTCACTCCTTTTTCAACCTTTTCTCCGATTGATCTAATCTTCATGGAGAGCACCGATTCATCCACCGGCTCCCAGCAGCCCCAGCTGCCGCCGGGATTCCGCTTCCATCCCACCGACGAAGAACTGGTGGTTCACTACCTCAAGAAGAAGGCCGCCTCCGCCCCTCTCCCCGTCTCAATTATAGCCGAGGTTGACCTCTATAAATTCGACCCATGGGAACTTCCCGGTATACATACTCTTTTTTCTGATCAACCCTTTTTCCCATTTCATCTCAATTTCAACAAACTTTCTGATAAATGTTTTTTTTTTTTTCTCTTTCTGTTTTTGGGTGGCCCTTTTTCGGTTATATATAGCTAAAGCGACTTTTGGTGAGCAAGAATGGTATTTCTTCAGTCCAAGGGACCGGAAATACCCAAACGGGGCAAGGCCGAATCGGGCCGCAACGTCGGGTTATTGGAAAGCTACCGGTACTGATAAGCCGGTGCTTACCTCCGGCGGTACACAGAAAGTTGGTGTCAAGAAGGCCCTGGTTTTCTATGGAGGAAAACCGCCTAAAGGAATCAAAACCAACTGGATCATGCATGAATATCGACTTGCTGACAACAAAACCAATAATAAACCTCCTGGTTGTGATATTGGCAATAAAAAAGGATCCCTCAGGGTAATTCTCATCAATTTTTACATTCTTGTTGGTAATAATAATGATGATATGATGGAAAATGCAAATAAATTTTTTTTTCTTTTGGGTACAGTTTAACAGTCTTTTCTGGATGGTTTATTTCCTAGGATATGATTGTGACTTTAAAATAATTTTTTTTTTTTTTTTTTGGGTGTGTTTGAGACATGACTTGAAGTTTGTTCTGAATTATGTTCTGGCCTTCTTTGTTTTTGTTTTTTGTTTTTATTTTTTCAACAGCTTGATGATTGGGTATTGTGTCGGATCTACAAGAAGAACAATCCACCAAGACCACTGGATCATGATAGGGATCATGATTTGAATATTGATATGATGCCATCATCAATAACTTCATCCCTGTTGCCTCCATCAATACCTTTATCTCAACACAAGTTTCAGGGAGGACTTAAGGCCGCTTCAAACTATGGTGCATTGCTTGAAAACCATGAACATCACATGTTTGAAGGAATGATGTCCGGCGGCGGAGCCGATGCGAACTCGCTGTCTCAGTTAACTTCATCTGCCTCAAAATCTCAACAACTCCCTTTGGGTGCTACAGATTCAAATGGTCTGCCTACAAAGAGAACACTTCCAGCTCTGTATTGGAATGATGATCAGGGTACCGCGAATTCGCCTTCCACCAAGAGGTTTCTTTCTGATGGCAGTGGTGATGGAAGTAGTTTGGGGAGGACTAATAACAACAACAACGATGAGAACAATTCGATCGCGAGTTTATTGAGTCAGCTGCCTCAAACATCTTCATTGCATCAACAGGCAATGCTGGGGTCACTTGGTGATGGGGTTTTCCGACAACCTTATCAAGTCTCCGGGATGAATTGGTACTCTTAGTGTTTAGTTTCTTGGAGGTGGGCTTTATTGTGCTTGATCATTTGCATGGAGAGGGAAGTTTATTAAAGCTTTTAAGTTGATGATGATAAAGGTATTTGCCATACTTCTGGTATTAAGCAAGATTGCTGGATTGGATATATGCGATAGAAGAAGAGTTGAATTTCTTACAAAGGTTTGATCTTTCTGTGGAGCATATGTAATTAACCTGTTTTTATTGTGAGGCCGTGTATATTAACAGCCACTCCCATATAGAAAACTTTACTATAGGTTGGTTTACTGTAGGGAACTTCTTCTACCTTTTTTTTTTTTTAATCCTTAGAGAAAAGATAGAAAAATATAGAGAGTATACGTATTTATATATAATATATATATATATATATTGTTCTAGGATACAATAAAAACATACTGATCATAAAATGCAGAAATTTATAAAACAGTATTAATTTAATTTGCTGGTTGATTGTATAGAAAAGTTAAATGGGTATTTTGATAAATTTGTGTGCATGTTTTTGTAACCCTTTATATAATCTAATTTGAGTTCCTAGCTTGTTAAGTGTTGTTATTATCACATAATCTGTTTATTTTTTAATATGGCGCAAATGAAAATTGATACGTTTCGACGGATTGTTTGAATTTTATTCAGTACATGATTGTTGTCTAAAACCCTAGAATTCTGGTCCGAGTAGTTAATGATTTTTTTTTATATTTTTCCTTCGACTAATTATTCCAAACACCCTATCGAAGGTAACCAATTATTTTTCAAGATTCCACATAAGTAGACTTAAGAGAAAATTCTTTTAAGACGAGGTCAGGCCAAAATTATTATTCTTAAGATTGTTAGGAGGTGAAAGATCTACTAATAACATTACATAACTTGATACAGATCGTTAATAATGGGTGATTAGCTTAAATGATGGATACAAACTTCTTAAGCTGTAATATTTCGACACTTAATCATGTCTTTTAAATTTTTCCAAATTGTTTAGTGTCTGGATCTTTATTGAGTTTGACATCATAGGAAATCTGCCGGGCCCCAAACAATGAAAAAGATTATGCTATGATTAAAAATAAAAAAGAAAGAAAGAAAGAAAGAAGCCAGTGGTTTATTAGGCTAATCACAAAAAGCCTAAACTAGTTCTAGTGCAAGATTAGACGAAGACTGGTAGAGCTTTTGCCATCATTAATTAACCAGCAGTTAGCAACTCTTCATGTGGATCCCAATTGAACTGGTGCCCAGATAAAGGCAAATTGATCCTAATCTTTTTTTAAAAAAAGCTAATTTAACTGATTAATTCTAGGTACGTAAGAGGATTAAGGGTTTAGTTTGTTGTTACTACAACAAAAATTTATAGCATGCGATCATAATCTCGTTGGGTCGATCCAAATTTTTTTTATATGCGTATAAAACAAGCCGATCAATTCTAGATGGTGCCATTGAACAGCTAATTATCAAATTAATCCAAGAAGATGTGTCCAATAGTTTGATTTTTAGCTCGTAATTTCATCAAAAAAAACTTTGTTTGGATTCCTGAATAGGACGTCTAACTGGCAGACGCGCATTCTTCTGCTTAGCTATTTCTGTCTAATTTCAATTTGTTACAAAGCTATTCATAATGAAAAAGTTTGACTAGAGCATCTTACTCTTACTGCATTTACTCATTACCTCGCATTTTATGAAACAATTTGCACCACTACTCACTAACAATTGACAAATGTATATCACGTACTCCCTCCTCCAAAACACAAAACACTTATTTTGAGACGGAGGTAAAAAATGATTACATATATAAAATAATAATAAATTTGTACCTATAAGCATATATCATCGCTTTGTAAACACGTATTTATGCAAAAGTGATCATCTGGATACATCGTCAATTGAAAATTGTATGTAACATATTGAATTGAATTCTGTAAAACAAGTAAAAAATATATATATCCAAACAAAAAAAAACAAGTAAATATATCCTTATTCGGTGGTTAATGGTAAGAGAATTTTATTGTGCGAAGACGAAGTTTATTCCTTTAAAAGCATTCACTAGGAAGAGTAACATTGGCAATTTGCCGCACAATTTATTAGAAAGTTTCTTAGAAATACTGCTATATTTGATTTGGCATGGAAATCCTCTCCCAAAGAGCATATTTTGGAAATGAGAGATTATGAATGTGAACTGCTGGCATATGCATACTAAAAGAGATCAACAGGAGGTATGCTCAAGCAAGATATTACTCCAACCGAATAATGTACATATTGGATCCCACAAAAAAAAAAAAAGAAAAAAGGATAACAGAAAGCAAAATAAAATCATCAAAAAGAAAATAGTTCGGTGGAACTTTTCTCTAAAGAGGAAACTAATCGTGCTCTTTCATTTTGTTCCTCCCCAATAGTTTGATTTTCCCCCTTGCCATTTTTAAAGAAAGCATTTCACTTTTATTTTCAGCATGTGTACTAAAACTTCAAATAGTGGTTGCTTCATTATACTCTTTCATCGTGATTTCATTATCATGGAATTAAAACAATTCCTCAATCACATCGAAATGAAGAATAGTTCTGGTGGTACTCCCTCGTATCCTTATTATAATGTATTTTGATTTCGTCCTAAGTTTAAATTTAGAATGTCTTTTTATTTAAAAAAAATGAAATATATATTTCCACATTCGTTATATCCTCCTAGTTATTATGAAATATTTTTAAGGTTTTTATTTGAATTAAAAAGACATCATAATAGTTGGGAATTGAATGGCAGCCTAGTAGTTAGGTTGATGTCTTTTCTGGGGATAGACCAGGTTCGATTTTCACCAGGAGTTGTAAGAGGGAGTTTTACTCACATTTAAGTAGGGTCCACTGGGATATTTTTTTTAAAAAAAAATATAATAGTTTAAACTTAGGACGAAATTAAAATACCTTATAAGAAGGATCAGAGGGAGTATTTCTTTTTGTTTCAAAAAATAGTTCATATTATAGGTTATAAATTATACTAATAATAGTACAATTTAAAAATTATAATCTAATTTTTAGGATAGAGATATTACAATTTCATATTCAGCGATGTACATATATATATATATATATATATATATATATATAACACTAATGCACTTTTTTCTCTAAAGATAACAATGAAAGATTGATATCACGAGCTCGATTGAAAACAAAATATCAAGTGACATTTGAAATCTCATTTCCAGTAAGGGATCTCCCATAAATTGATTTATATCCCAAGTGCGGAGTGTAGTTTTGTAGATCATAAGTAGAAAAAAATGATGGAAAGATTAAAGGAGAAATATTAGAAAATCCTACTTCACAAATGGCATTATCTGCCTTTTTTGTTGATGGGACCATTGTTATTGTCATAGGAGGGAATCATTATGTTGAAAAATTGAAACCACAGAAATTCATTATCGTTAATTGCATTCCTTTCTTGGGAAAGAGTACAAACCAACTTTACAATATTTCATTTTATTTATGGCTAAGTTTAGAAATGAATCAATGGGGTGATGGAAATTGCACTCTTTTTCTATTTTTATTTTTTTATTCTCTCGTGGAACAAGCTTTACAAACCTCAACCCTTCACGTCGACTTAAGTTGAGAGACTATACATCATGATTTTGATTTTTATTTTTGGTGATTATTTCATTTATTTTGACTCATCTATCACTCAAAATACCACAGCAATATATGTGAAATGGCGACTGGTGAGTGAGATATTTTTGCGTGTGTTGTTTCTAACATACACGTACGTACATGTACATTCATACGTATGCAGATCAAAATTGGAAATTTACCAAACCAAAATATATACGTAACTTTCAGTTTTTTGTGCCATTTAAGGAATTACGTACACTTAACCTGAGTATTTTGCGCACTCAAAAGTCTTCTCATACGTATCCTGACGTGAACCATGTATATTTTATCTAGTGTATATAGTAGCACAAAATCATCACATTTAAATTTTCATTAATTTTTTTTTTCTTGTCTGTATATAGTGACAGATATCAAATCACATTACAAATAACAATTCTGTTCATACCCTCTTTGTTGCCTTTCTACATCAATTTTAAACATTTTGCTGAATTTAAGCTTCATTATTGCATGCGCAAGTAATGGAAATTGAGAAAGGACGTACGATATAATATTGTGATGCAGAATCAACTTTCTTCCGTATACTTGAGAGGAATAGCTGAATAAGGAGGGATCAACAACCAAGCTAGGATTTTACGTTTACAGAAGTAACCGATAATGTACTTTTCATCCTAAAAATACTCCACTTTGTTGAACTAAAGTAATGCAATAACGTTAACATTTTTGTGGAACAGAAAGAGTGTTATTTTGTAAATACTCATGCAAGATTAATACTAAAGTTAATTATATGCAATCTTAATCTTGCACGGGTTTATCGTGATAGAGTAGTTCATTTTGGTACGGAGGGAGCGACAATTTTGCAGATGAAATCATGTGGTGTTATTGTAATATATGTTCGTTTCATATGGGTTAAGGTGATTTAGCAAAAATATTTATTTAGGGACGTTCAAAAGATATATGTTCTCAACCAGCCAATTAGCGGCAGATTACTAGAATCGAAAACATATCAGCCGGTAATGTGATGGAGCTGATCTCTTTGGGAGTTTTAAACATAATAGTATAATCGGTGGGGGTCATTTGAAATAATATAACCTTTTTCTTTTATGGTTTTATTTATAAGTTGGATTACGTGCGAAAGATGTATATAATGAAAATGATTTACATTAAAAGTAATATAATTATGGAATTAAAAATTCATTATGATGTGAGTGAATTTAAATGTACACAATAAGTGAATGCATACTTAAAAATACACATTGTATTGTCTATATATATATAGAGAGAGAGAGAGACAATATAGTAACTTTTATTCACATCATTAGCTAGCTACGAGTTAATCAAATTTATATTTAGTAATTCGTTCATTCTTGTTTATAAACCACGAAGTTCTGTTTAGATTCAGTTATGCAAAAATATTGAGTAAAAAGATTGAGGGAAAAGGTCTTGTATATTGCTTTTTATGAATGAGACAGTTCATCAATAGACTTTACATCTGCTTAGCCCACAGCTGAAAGTTGATTAACTTGCATTTGATGCCACAAAACCCCGAATTGTCCACTTGATTAATGACTCCACCCCCAACCAATTCCGAATCTTTTCGATTTTTAGACACATAATTATCACGATACAGTTCGCGAACAGCTTTAAGATTGTCATTAATCAAAATGGTCCACCCAACCAAAGATGTTAGGTTACTACAATTTAATAATAATAATAAAAGAAAAGCTGGGACTATCACCCAAGATTGATAGGTTTTAATCGTAATTGTGTGAAATTGAGCTTCAGTCATTTTGAATCAAAATGATAGTTCGATTTTTATAATATAACAATCAAAATTATTATTTTGGGATGGAGGAATTATATAATTAATTAGTTTAGGATGGTAAGGGAAAAAAAAAAGGGTTGATTAGACACTACTAATTTTAGTTGCTTTCTTCAATTGACTAAGTACATTTTCAAGATTTTTGGTGTGGGCATATCCCATAAAGTTTGATCATGTCATATGTCTGAGCTTTGAGGCTAATATCAAAAGTGCTAGAAGCACCACCGGCGCCACCACTATTTTTATCTCCGGCAACAACAGCCACCTATATGTAACTAGCTGCCCTTTCAATGATATAGTTTTGATTTTTACTACTCTCTCCGTCCCATATTTATTGTCCAGTTTGAGTTTTTATTTTTAGTTCAAATTGTACTAAAAGTGAAATCTGAAACTGGACAATAATTTTAAGACAGAAGGAGTACATCAATAGATCTCTTTGCAAAAAAAAGAAAAAAAAATGATTAATAACTTGATTGTACGCCAAAGAATAGTACAAATGCTTGAGAGTTGGGGACAACAGATAGTCGGGGAAGGGTGCGCGGGAGGACTGAGGATGAATCATAAATGAATGAAGTCGAAACTCGAAGATATAATCGACTAATCTCCCCTGCTGTCATTAAGCAACTACTGCAATCTTAACGCTTTTGGTTAAATTAGGTTTCTTAATTACCTCTGTCACAGAAAAATAATTTATATGAATTTTTAAATTTGTAATATTCAATATAAACTATTTTTTATGGAGAGAAAGATATTTTATATCTGTAGTATATATTTCATCCGTACAAAGAAGAAAGTTCTTCGGCGATTATTCTATTTTTGAGACGTACTTAACTACTTACTGATTTTCTGAGCTTAATTAATTGTTTTTTCTACGCTTAACTACTAATATCACTTTATCAAAAATTAACATATTTATACATGCTTAAATTTGAAACTATGTTTAGTTTATTTGATAAACCAAATCTTTCTTTTGGTTGCATCCTCATAATCACCGCGCACTTTCTTGTATATCCATAGCACTTAGCAAATTATTTCTTATCTGAATTTTGATTTTCATTTTTAATACAAATTATATTAAATGCGAAAATTTAAATTGAATAATTATATTAGGACAAATATCAACTTCTAATTTGATTTTCGAGTAATTATAAATTTCAGTCAATTTCAGAGTTAGCAAGTATTGATCATTTCTTAAATAACTAGCTAGTAGGAATAGTGGACTGCACACCTTTTCTTTTTTTTTTTTATTTCATTGTTTCCCTTTCATTACCACAAAGGCACAACTATGAAGAGAAAAGATTTTGCCAAGAGAAAAATAATTTGGGATGCGACTTTAACAAAAAAAAAAAAAAAAAAAAACTTTCAGATTATTACTAAATAATCAACAAGTAGATGATCAATGAATTTTTTATGTTTTGAATTATGGGAACCATTCCATACTAATTGAATTTAGTCAATTTACAGGAACGAATTTGAAGACACCAAGTTGGACAGTAGACAATAATAAATTTGGTGATTTGACGGAGATGAAAGGCCGTAACTAAAAGGAGTCAACCCTCATTCTCTTATCAGAATCAAACTTATTTGTACATTATAATTCATCAGATTTATACGTACAAAAAGTTGGTCCAGTTTCTGCAATTTGAACTGAAAAATAAATACTATCAGTGGTTAACAAAAGAATATAATAATGATGTGGGAACAGAAAACGCAAACAAAATAAAAGGCGTTATGACCATCATGGGTTGAATGTTTGACTAGACCAGGCGACCAAGTCAATAAAATAATTATGCAACCAAAAGGACATCAGCGTGTTTAGGAAGTCTAATGTGTCTTTCCTTCGGGATTAACTAATACTCTCATCAAATTGTAATAAAAATGAAATATCAAACTAAATAATAATTTTAGGACAAAAAGAGTATGTAATTTGAAACACTGAGAACGTGTAATAAAACCAAAGAAATAGAAATGAAAATTGCGCCAACCCTGAAATCCTCAAAACAACCATAATACACCGAACCAAACTAACCAAAACCAGCTGCCTTAGGAAACCTCTGCCTCCTTAACCATGGAAAAAGTCAACACGACATTTTGAACCCTATAAAACCCAAAAAAATGAAAAACCAAAAGAACCCATAAATCAAAAGAGTCATCAAAAGAAGAGAAAGATCAAGACCACAATAGAATAGATCAAACTTTGGGGGAAAAAAAAAATGGTAGAGATCAGTGATGCTGCTGCTATGGAGATGACAGTTTCAGTTTCTACAGAAAGGCTTCCGGTTCTGCAGCGTGAACCATGGAATAATAATAATAATAATAGCTATGTGGTGGAATTGGCATCTTCTTCGTCTTCCGGTTCGAGTTCTTCAAGTTCCGGTTTGGATCATGTTCGTTACAATAACAAGTCAAAGTTAGGTAGAGGCGGTTGGAATTCAGATGGGCGATTAGTAACACCGCCACCAAGTCAGGAGAGATTCAGAAGAAAGCAAGCTAAGAAGGAGATCCTGAGGAGGGCTTTGACGCCGCCGGTCAAGCGGCCGACTTTGCGGTGGTTGGATTTCCGGCCGACTCCCAGCCGGCTACGCGTTATGTCTACCGAGTGAACGGAATATTCAGCCGGCCGGCCCATTTGCCCTTTAGAAAAAAGATTAGTCTTGGGGACCATTTTTTTGCTCTCAATCACTCAATTGTCACCCTTTGGTGGCGTTTTCTTCCCTTTTTTCTTTTTGGGTTGAAGATTCTATTCTTCATCTTAGAGGCTGTAGCGTCTGTAACTTTTGTACATTCTTCAACTGTTCTTCTCTGTGATTAACGAGTTTTATTTGATGAACACGGTTGCCTTTTGGGCCAATCTTCTCTTTTGTTTCTAGAATGATTTCATTCCAAGAATTCCATTCATAATTTTTCCAGATTTTTCCTTACCATATACAACTGAAGGAATCAGGAGGCAAGAGATGGAGATCAAACAAAGAGAGATTACAATTCTAAAAAACTGCTTTAGATTCTCAATACTTATCTGAGGTTTCAGATCAATACAATGGAGAGCTTATATGTACGGCGATGTCTAATCGTATTCACTAGGCACATTTTTGAAATTCTGAGGGATGGGAAGCATTTGTCATATACACACACACAATAACTATAAGCAAGGACTACATTGACGGACTAAATATACAGTTGTTAGAGACGAAGAAGGTGACTGTGCAGTAACTACGTTCACCCTGCCCCTCGATTTTGAAAACACCGATGAAATAAATGTATGTACCCCCCCGCCACATATCCTTGATATACGAGGCTTTCATCTCTCAAGTGAATCAAGGGATCGAACAGCTCTTATTCATATGGTTTTCCAACATCCAGATCAGTATTGAGTCACTCCTACGAAGATTCAGTAGAAAGCAGAGTAAATTCTCCGGATTGATCAAACTTAGCAGTGAGTTTAAAAGTTTAATCATCACCAACTACATGATCATTGGAGGACTTACTGAAGTAGAATTGGGATTTTCTTCCACGGGAAGCTCAGAGATTCTAGCTTCTGATTTCTCATTTGAATATCTAGAAGAAAGAGACATCAGGAAGGGCAGGATACATGTCAATATGGCAAATGATTCAATCTGAGATAAACCAATCCTAGTATTCCCCATGAAATATTATCAACATGCTGATCATATGTGCTGCAATGTACTTACGTGGAGAGTATTGTCACCCAGATGAGCTCCACGCAATCAACCCACAAAAGCCTTTGTTCAACCGGGATTACACCATAGGTAATAAGGTGAGCAAATGGCCACAACTTCCAGCCTGCCTGAATCATTGTAAGATAGAATTCAGGGGGCATTAAATATTGCAAAATTACAATCTCAATTTGTGTTTCATAAAAATGAACAGCAACCTCTTAAGATTTGCACATTAGATCATATCATCTTTTACCAATCCACATCTGATCCTGACTGAAAATATTCTGTCACTAGAAAGTTCTTCAACTTGCAACAGATGTCTAGAGATAAAGGTGAGAGCTAGCTTGAAAAGTTGCATACATACATATCAACCAAGCATAAGAGGCAAAAGGGCCTCAACCAGGCAGGATTGACTGAATCCTAAACCATGAAACAAATGCAGCATTCAAATTGGAGTACCATGACTCGAAAAATGCAGATAAACATTATGACTGCAGTTTGACCAAAAAGCTAAAACATAATGAACTGTGTAGGGAAGGGAATCTTAAAGACACAAATGTAAAAATTAAAATTGAAAAAGTTAAATTACAAAAATTCTGCAACGAATGAGTAGCAAAAGCTCAAAGGATGAGATTTGATCAACCAAGGGATGCATGAAACTGGGAATTAACTGCGTAATGATTATATGCAGAGCCCAAGATACCAATACTAATAATTTTGAGTCTAGATACTAGCAACTACAGATGTAAGTCTCTAGGTTAAAGCAAACATATGTACTTACTGTTAACATGGGCCAAAATGTTGCCTTCAACTCATTAAAGATATTGACAGGAGATTCAAGACGCAACACTGCTACAACTGTGTAATAAATGCTGTTCCAAACAGCAGACCAAAATGTTTGATCAAATGCAACTTTAGCAGGTACAACCCACCAATCATCAAATGGAAATAGAGCCTGAGAGTCATCAAATGTTGCATCGTTGATTAGAGAACAAAAGCTGAACAATACAGCAGCCACCAGAAAGATATTCAGATAAACTATTCACCTCACAGAACTGATAGTAGTAATGAGAAAGTGATCCGTGAAGGGTAAAGCCAACAAGACCAGATCTCAACATACGTGCACGATCAAATCCGAAAATGGGTTTGCCTTCATAGCACTGTACAGTTTAAGAGGTTGAAAGGGAGAAGATCAACTGGAGCTTCAAGAAAGCTGAAACCAAGCAGCCATAAAGCTTACAAAAGAGCAAAACTAACCTGTGCAATCCAATCCCCTACTGAATAAACAACTCCACTTATCACCATTTTGGCAAACACTGGATTTGTCTTAAGAGCTTCCTCATAAGCGCTCCAGTTATGTTCAGGTGCATATCGCAAGATCTCATAAATTGTCCATCCCTAACAGCAGAAAAAAGTATCTTTCTTAGAACATACATGCGTGGAAAGGTACACGTTATACACATACATACATTTGAACCATCTCATTATTCTTTCTTTCAACGATACACACATTATACACACACGTACATTTGAACCATCTCATTATTCTTTCTTTCATCGATACACAATGATTAAGCAAATTAACCTTCAGATTTAACAGTTCAGGAATGGAAATATTTGAAGTAGAGCACAGCCTCTATAGGCTCATTCTCTAACAATGTTCATATGATATTGGGTACATTGTGATTGGGCCAAAATACACAAAACAAGAAGCAAACCATACATGACCTCATGTTTCTATCAATAGCAAGATACTATTGTAGAGTACTTTGTGAAGACAGACGCACCAGTACCTTCAAATATTGGTGAGATATTCAGCATGCAATTTATTTTTGAACACGGGAACAAAAAATTATTAAAAAGAATAACTCCGTTCCTCTACTAACATTTCAAGATGCACAAAGAAGACTGAACACTCTATTGCGAAAAAAAGTAACACTCAATAGAAAGGAACAAGTTTTCTTGCTGCCCGCACACGGCACATCATACCAAAAGGTCATATATCTCATTGTATTACATGAGAAGAGATAAACCAGAAACATAGACCACAAAATCACTGAAGCCAAAATATAAACCTTTTCCAGATGGAAGAAAAGGATGCATCAAAAAATCATGCGCTTGGATCCTAAGTTCAAGTATATCCAAAGGGGAGAAAAGGGTCCTAAGTACAGGAAACAAATAAATCTTAGTATATCAGAGAATGTTCACATGCATATGTACAATTCCTCTTTACGTCATAGAAGGCTAGGACTTGCATAGATTTTTAATGATCAAACAAACATAAAAATTCATAAAAAAGAACTAATTATAATAACACTGATTAAAGAAGCAAATTCTGAATAAAGCACAAGTGTGGATTCACTCACATGCCAGTAATCACTGTCAATAGTAAGTAACTTGGTAATAGCAAAAGTCCCAGCAGCTAAAACAATAGAAGCATTAATAGCACTATCAATCAGCTTGTCCATTTCCTGACCTTCTTTCCCAGCTTCACCATTAGGCCCCGACCCACCAAAACCGCCGCCGCCGCCTCCTCCGCCACCACTGGTGTACCCTGAAGAAGATGTTGTTGCCCCTTCGAAAGATAACCTCTCTTCATTTCCAAACCCATTCACCACTTGATTCACAATGTCTCCTCCACTGACCCCTTCTGTTTCAATCTCTACCAACCCAACAACAATCACATCCGGTTGATCGGTATAGTCATTGCTCTGTACTGGAATTACGTCTAGCTCGTTAGCTAATGAGCCCACTATAAAGTTCGAGTCTTTACGACATCTTAATATTGAAGGATTACAGGGGAAGCTAAGAAATTGAAGTTTGGTGGAGGGTTTTGGTTGGTGAGAATATCTGGGTTTGGGCTTGACGATGGAGAGGAAAGTTTGAGGAGTGGCGAGGCTATTGATGGAGGCCATCTTTGGCCTGAGGGTGAGGGGCGAAAAAACCGTGAGGTAAGTTTTTCTCTGTCAATTGAGCCAAACCAGTGAAGCTGGTGAAGAGGGAGACTTTTATATTTCAGGTATTTTTAAATATAGATTTAATTTTCTTTTGAAAGGTAGATAAGAATTTTCTAATGTTTATTGTAGGCACAGATGATGTGGCTCTGGCACAGTCGCCTGCTGCACTATGCAAACGAGGATGACATCCACATGTTTTTTATAATTGGATGAACAATTTAGAAATATATATATATATATATATATGTGTGTTTGGTTAGTTTTTTAGTGTGTATTTTTACGTGTTTTTTTATTAAGAATGAAAAAAAATGTATTGAAATGTAAAAAAGTATCATCAAATGGGATAGTAATTATATTATTATGAAAAAACCATGAAAAAATGAAACAAATAGAAGATTTTCATTTTTGCCCGCAGGCCACTGCCACCTTTTATTTTAAGGAATTCTTAATTAGGTTACATAATCTCTCTGTTTCATAACGCATGACAATCATTTTGCAATAAAAATACTCACCATCTAGCCAAAAGGCAATTTTTTTTTTTTGGGTGAAGAAAAGATTGCAGCTAAGATCCACTCAAATGGCTGATATAATCATCATATAATAACAGTTTATCACAGATGATCATATGAATCGGAATCTTCTTTGTTGCTACTGTTTCTACTGGTTGTCCATAGTTGCAAAAGAAAGGGCCCAATTAACAGTTTATAAAGTTTGTGGGCAAGAAAGATACACCCTGAAAAAATCTTGAGTATGTGTCCTTCCTTTGACATCTTCAACTGTTCTGGAATGGGGGAGATTCTTGGATAGCATGAAGAGTTGGCTGCTTGGTGAGCCACTCAAATTTGGAGCCCACTTCGGATTCCAAACAGTTCAAACTTGTTTGTTTGTGTATAATGCAATTTATAAAATTTCGAGGTGTGGGATTTTCAGCATATATTGTGGTGTAACCAAATTCTTTGATCACTCTCAACACAGTTACTTGGTTCCATATATTTTTTCTCCAATGTCAATGATGAATAGTCAGTCCAAACAATAGCCATATCATGAATTCAGATGTTAATTATTCTACTGCTGAATATATTTAAAATAAAAGAACAATACAGAAATCTGAAAACCAAAGTATGCGAAGTAAAACGAAAAGGTCAGTGACCAGAGTTTTCCAGATGGCTAACTTGCCAATGCCTCCAAACAACTGTGGATGCTAATACTTTGCACTAAAAGAATAGCATACAAACCTGGCCCAAAACCAGGAAGAAGCGGAATGGAGTGACCAACTTCAAGAATCATTTTTGGGTAGTACAAGGCGATCTCCACCTTCCACTAGTTTTGCAGATCGAATAATATCACCAGATTTTATCTGAGAAAGAGTGTCTCTTCCAGCTGTTGTATACCTGCGGAGGGAAGTCAATACCTTTTCAATCAAGGAATCGACTGAATTCTCACTTCATGCCATTTTCTTCAGATTGAACATCAATGACTGACTTACCCAAATACAGAAAATTGACCCTCATCAAAAGATAAACCGCCTAAGCCAGACTGCGTAAATGATGCACGGTCCATCAGTCTTGTAGATAAAACAATAGTCGTTGCTCAATACAAAACTCAAGAGAAATGGCCCATGAACTTACGTTTCTTTTGTCATAGAGGTAGAAGAAGAACTGATTGGGTGATGAATATTCCTCCGAGGAATCGCTATGAGCCATAGCAACGGCTCCATAAACTGATAATGGTAGAACAGGAAGCTCCCCATCCTTCATTAGAAAAGCAAGAATACAAGTTTAACATGATGAAAGTTCAATGCAACTAAGACATAGTTGACAGTTCATCAGAGCTACGCAGTGTATCACCAACGAACCTGCACACTTAAATATGTCTTGTAAAGAGGCTCAAATTGACCAGAAGGTTTGATTTCAAGGGGAACGCTGTAGCCTTTGTCATTTCCAAGTCCACCATCAGTAATTACGGCCTGATTTACAGATTTCAGCTTCATCCCATCATACGCCCCATCGATCACCTATTGTAGTTGAGGATTCTCACAGGTTGATTCTTCCAACTCCAAGAGGCAAGATCAATGAGGAAAAGATACACTGTAACAATAAAATGACATTTCAGAAGAGGACAAATAGCAAGCAAGATGAATGTTCTCAGAATTTTGTTGATCTAGCTGCAAAAGTGACGTTATGTTTAATTCCAGGGATAAAATATGGTTCATCAAAGAATTCAGTAGAAAAAAGAATTTCAGAGCAAATTCACATCTTATAGATATAATTAGGTCATAGATGATTGATGGTTTCCCTAATAGACGTTGCATATATTTTATAGCAGTAAGAAGTAAAAGAAGAGTTTCACTACCTTACCAGCTTTGCAAAGTTCCCTGCCGTCAATGGTGCTGAATAGCCATCTATGACAACCTGGATTCAAGTACTTAGATAGTTAACTGAAATACCTAAACCAAGAAACACTTCAAATGAAGAGAAATTATCAGTAACACAGTTACGTGGCAGAATTAAGAAAACTAGGAGTGTAAGGCACTCTTCCCCAACTCCGGATTTGCATAGAAACAGCACATGAAACAATGGTTCATGTGCATGAATTAACAGCCCATATAAAGGAGATATAGTTACCCGGAGGGTTGCGGTGCTTCTTGCTTCACCTGCAGCTTCTGGAGAAAACATAGAACCATCTCCCTTCTCAATAGTAAATTCAACCACCCCTCTTCCAGTAAGCCTAAACAATGAAATAACATTTAATTTTTCTTTTGCCTTATTTTGTAGGGGAAAGCCAATAACTATTTGTTCCTTATGCCATGGAATGTATAGAAGCAATGATACAAACGGAATCAATGAAGGATTGAGCTATTCGACTAAAAGAGAAATATTACCTTGGATAATTTAAGAACTCATTGGGCAACAAAAATGATAACCCTGGAGCCTGTTGAGAAGCAAGAGTTAGCCCTATTTGGTTTTTAACACTTACATCAAACTTTACAAGTTCTACAATGCGGTCGGCCACAGCCGCCCAAAAAAAGTTCTATCACTGAAATAAGTTGATCACAGTAGAAAATTGCATTACCTGTAACAGTTCCAATTCTGCAACCGTATCAAGCGAAGATGCAAGATCAACTGATACTTTATCTGGATCCTGATCTTTTATACTCTTAAGAAGGCCTTGTAAACCACCCTGGGATTAAGCAAAAACAATAAAAATCAAAACACATCAGTTGTAATCCAGAAACCAATTGCTTTTAGCTATACTTTTAAAGAATATCAGTCACCTCAGTTTATTCTCTATCCAGTGACAAATTAGAAGCAAATATGTATTTAAATGACATTGATATCAGTTAGTTTAGAAATCTTCAGGAAAAGGCATTTGGACCAAACTGAAAATTTAACAAACAAATAATAGGAAAAAACGTATATTTTCAGTCGAGTAATGCTGGAAGCCCTTAAAAGATTTCATTATCTCACCATTACATTGCAGTCCATCCAGCTTCTGTCAGAAAATGAACTTTATAAGAAAAGACCACATGGCCAAAACATGGAAGAAAGCTTAGAGTTTCCACATATATTTTACAAAAAATATGCAGTACAACTGGACATGTAAATTGTTACAAAAAATTATTCTACCAAACATAAGCAATCAGTAATGGACAAGCTCTAGCATCTTCTTAACTGTGCATCCACAGTTATATATTTCCTTACCTTCCCGTCTACTAGAGATGCATATACAATGGAACCCTTCTCTCTCAACTCAGCAGGTATGCTCGACAATATGGATTGCTTTTCATCTGTAGCAATCTGCAATTGACAGGAATCACTTAAGCACAGCATATCCAGTTCCTTTGCACTTCACATTTCATAATGAGATTAAAAGAATGCATAGGAGGAAAAATGAATGAATAACATTCTGGCAAAGATATCTGCTGGGCTTCAGATGATCCTCCCAAATCAATCTTGTTTCTGCTACAAAACAAAATCATGCTACCTTCAGAGCTTTTTTCACATTCCCCTCCATTGTGCCATATGGTTTCCTCTGCGGTATCCTCAACAAGTATGAAATATCCTCAAGAGAATCCTGTGGGACATAACAAGAATAATTGCACACTGTTCTTTGGAAGAACTAAACTGCAGAAAGCAGATAACTGGATACCTGTATAGCTTTCATGTCAGTGTTGGCTGGAATTGCTCTTCTCAGAGCTAGTTCCCCTGTCCTCGGAATCTTTGTTTCTGGAGAATATAGAATTGCTTCTGCTGGAGGAAGAGACGATGGAGCCCAACCAGCTAAAGGTACCGGACATGTCAGTTGCTGAAAAATAAAGAGGGCAGCAATGGCACTACAAAATTTCTTCTCTAAGCAATCCAGTAAATTTATTCTGTCAGTGATAGTATTACAGCAGTTGGTGGATTCCTGCATTACGTACAGCATTACTGAGTCTTGAAAGTCCCAAGTAAATAAAGTTGTAAAACAAATACTCTGACCCAAGGAGATTTTCACGATTTGCACGAGATATTCATAGACACAATTCGAATGCACATAGACCTATTTTGAAAGGAGGACCTAACGGCACTATGAGGAATGACTGCCTCCTCCTAGAGGCAATATAATCATCAAAGCAAATCAGTTAAGTACCTAAGAAGCTTAAAACATAAAAGAAAATGCCTCCAAACTGTTGATATCAAAAAAAAAATTTCTTCACTATACACGGAAGAGTAAAGTGATTAATGGAACTGAGTGCTTATTTGTCTGAATTCTCAAATTGCAATGCTGTAGCTAAAATTTCAGTTTTAAATGCCGGAATCAAAATGGCTAGTTGAACAATCTTGACAGTATGATGAAGTGCCTAATTGTACCATTCAGCTTCTATTGATTTTGTTTTTCAGTAATGAAATGTACAATTCATTTTCCGCTAATGCATTCATTCTGACCCACAAAATAATTTATAAGGCAACCACATTGGAGTATCGGACTACCGCAAGAAAACTTCCCTTAAAACAACAGCCAAGACAAAAAGACACTACAATACACCAAAAACATAAATAGACAAAGTTGTTTGAGCAGTCAAAGGGTATACATTGATCACAATCCATAATTAATCCCTTCAAAATACACTAAAAAAATTATTCCAGCTTCATCACATCGCATCTACCCAATCAACTCCAGGATCGAATTTTGCAGTACAATATCAACGAATTAAGTAAAAAGTATATGAACTAACCACAAAAGGGTCCTTTCTGGCAAAAATGGAAGTGATCTTTGAGTAAAGTAATCTCCGAGTAGGGAATTGAAATCGGCCATTGAACTGGGAGCAGGGAAATGGGTCATGGACAGTGAGGAAACAGTGATTTAGACAAGATGGGACCCTGCCACTGTTGTTGTTGTTGGTGTAATTGTGTGAGATTGTTGAAGAAGAAGGAGAACAAAAGGCAAAAGCCATGATGACGAAGAGTGAAGAGAAGAATTGGGGTAGTTGTTGTTTTTCTTTTTTTTTTTTTGGCGCGCCTCATCCAAAATCATCCACAGCCTAATCCCCTTCACATCTCCAGGCCACTGGCCTTCGACTCGTCCTCTGAAAGGTCTAAATTACCCACATCAGATTTTATTTTATTTTATTTTTAAAAAAAATATGTCTACTCTGATTTTGTGTTTTCCTTTTATATTTGACTAGGGGTAGTGCTGCACGTTGTGCAGCCTAAGGTAAGTTATAACCCAGTAATTCAGGAATTTTTTAATCCTGTTTTTTAAGTGACAATCAAATCCACATACATGAATAATTAGTTTTAATTCTTTTTGAAACGGAAAAGATATCAAAAAACGGTTTGTACTTTGTTAACCTTTCTTGAAATGTTGGTGAAATTTTTTATTTGATTAAACATTGGTATTGTATATTTACTTTTTTTAACGGAAATAGAAAAATATCTATAATCATTCTAACAAAATGCTGCAATGAGAAAACTGGATTTAATTTTGGTCGATTTAGGAATCTTTCAATTTTCGGTATTATGTATGTTTATCTCCATTCTCCTAAATTTCCTTATCTGGTTTAATCACGTACATTAATCAGACAATAACAATGCATATAATATACAAAAATTCATGCATTAAATTAAAAAAGAAACAAAATATGTGAAAAGTACACCTTAATAATTAAAATAATAAATATTTGGTACAAATGCAATGTGCTTGCATATTAACTTATTGGATTTTACCTTAAAAAAAAAAAAATTGATATTTGCATCCCGCATGTTTGCAGTTGTTTGGGTTTTCATGTACCATTCTTTTCCCCTATAAAATGCCAATAAATTCAAATACCTAATTAGGAGAAAGACCAAACTATCAATTTCTTCATTGCATTGCATTGGTTCATTCATGCACTAACAGCCATTGGTTGATTGTTTTCATGTTTTCTTCAAATCGTTTTAGTAACCATTCAGCCCTGAAACCACCCACATGGAGGCCTTATCCTCGAGTTCACCAAGGCAAACCACTCCCTAGTAACTGAAATACAACATGAGCAAGACAATAAGATCCTGTAAGGACATCAAACCAACTACACGTGGATTCATTTGTTCTAAGCAGTGAAACACAGATTAGTGTCGAGGAATTAATATTCAATAAAACTAAAACCATCATGGTACTGTTATATAATGAACTAAATGAAAGAATTGGTACTACAAAACCACCTGCTTGTATAATTTTTTGTTTAGGCAAATACATTAATCAATGGAAATGAAGTCAACTACAATAAGACCAAATACACAATTTGAACTAAAGCTTAAGACTTTGAAAGATGGAGCCTTTGCGCAGTTCAAAGTTAACAAAGCCTTCCGAAATTAGAGAACTTTAGGCAAGAGATTACCAGAGAATTAGTAATAGTTTGATTCAAATGGTGCAATATATTTCATTACAGAGTAGCTTCTCTTTATCATAATTGCATTCAACTCTCTCCGCCTATATGGCAATTCTATTGTAGTTTAGTTTTGCAATCAAGTTGCTACTTACCCCATTTTGTAGTACATATGGTTCTTCGTTCTAATAGAGTTTCAGTCTAGACTCTAGAGTCAGAATTTCTTCTTCATCTCGTACAGTACCGCTATTCCTATAGTCCAAAGTCAGTTCAAAGTTAGACAATTGTTTCAGTAATAAGTTGTCCTAGGGTTCTAAATAGCCAGATTCACGTAAATCATGTTGAGATATTCAAAATGCATGGCATTTTAGTGTCGTTTCTACTTAGTAGAAATGGTATTTGCGCTATATAAAGCCCAAATTCATGTTAAGTAACTATTGTGTATGCAAATTTCTTCAAATAAGGTGACAAATAAAAAGAACCATGGCTAAAAATGAAATTTCCCATTAAAACTAATACTCCCTCCATTCACAAATAGATGTCGCTCGAGAGATTTCACAAAATTTAAGGAGGCAATAATTATCTTGTTAAAATACTATAATACCCTCATTTATTCTTAATTCAATTGTAATCCCAATAAAATTCACTTTTAATACAATTCTATATTAAACATCACAACAATTTCCAATGTAAGGGTGATATTGGAAAAAATTGACAAAATATGCCTCGATTTGTAAGAACGACATCTATTTTGGAATATTTGGGTTTTCCAACGACATGTATTTGTGAATGGAGGGAGTAGCACAAAAAGAAATACTGTTTCAAAGAAGCACAAATCAGTTTTCTTAGAGACAAATAATCAAACATGTATCATGCATACACATAGAAGTTTGCACCAATTTCGACTGGCCTAGGTTAGAACCCTTTTTCCTAATTGCTTGATCTCATATCCAAATTGGGGAAGGGAGAATGGCCAAAAGTGACAACAAGATACCCTGCACACTGTTCTTCTACATAAAAGAATTTGTTCTTTATATCCAAATAGCTCTACAAGAACACAAAGAAAGTAACTTCTTCATTTTCTTTTTTAGAATTTCATGCACTAAATTAATCGAAACATAACAGCATTGTATAATCTGCAGATCCATAAGTTCAATGGGGGAGGGGGGTAAGAGGGGAACGAATAAATGGAAGAAAGAGATCCAAAAACTGTACCGAATCAGAATACAAATTTCAGTTTACGGGGGAGGGAGGTTTCAGACACTCCTTCAGACCTTCGAGAAAAAGCTATTAAATCAGAAATTACCAGACCTTACTGTAGAACTTCCATTTATTTCGGAGCTATTCCCCACCGGAGCTTCAAAATTGTTTAGGATTGGGGACTATTTTGCGCCGCATCATCCAAATTGTCCGATTAACAAAGTAATAAAGGGCAAGAATTGTCTTTCTGTTTCCAAATTTTCTTCAAAAAGGATTCATTCACCGACAAAATTCTGGATTTTTAATTCATGTCTCCCTAGTACTGTTTCCTCAGATGTCTCCCTAGTACTGTTTCAATCAACTCTGATTTAATCGAGAATTTTGATTCAAGATTATCGAACTCTTCGGAGAGAGATGCGAGGAGGCCGAAAGACAAGAAAGAGAAGGATCCACCGTGAAGGAGTAAGGACAGTGTTGTACCAGAGTTGCAACAGGAAGGAACGGTGAAGAGGCCATGGAAGAAGCCATGAACAAATAGTAGGCAGACACGTGTAAGAAAGAAGACGGAACACCAGACCTAAACAGGCCCCTCCCCGGTGAACTATCCCTTTATATATTGTAGACTAGTGATGTCTGGTCGCGCATTGCGCGACCCTGGCCCATTATATCTGTAGATCTTAAAAATGTTTGTATCTGGAAAAAAAATATTTTGTATTTGGCCCAATATATTTTAGAAATATTTGAAGAATTTAGAAATGTTTTATAAGTGTGATGTTTGTATTTGGCATAAAAATAAATTGTATTTGGCCCGGTACGTTTTAGAAATGTTTGAAGATTTTAGAAATGTTTTATAAGTGTTACTTCTTAAATATAAATAAGCTTAATCAAATATATGTCTTGAAGTAAATGCTAGACAAAATATAAAAACATCCTAATAAGTTTAAATATTAATAAGATAATTTATTGATGTTCTCCATTGGTTGTGCCAAATCTATACTTAGTCTTGGAGATTTATAATAGCTTTGTAGTTAGCTTCCTCCAAGGGGTATACGCTTAATTGTTGGAACTATTTCTTCCAAAAGTTTATAAGTAGTAAAATATCAAAAATATGATTTTGAAACTGGTTAATTATTGAAACTGGTTGATCACAAATATAAGAATGAAAATAATGTAAATTTGCATAGGTTTCAAGATATAGCAAAAAAGAACTCACCTCACCATGGCAAATAAAAAAAAAAAAAGGATAGCCCATTAAAATTTGAGATTTTTTTTCTGTAGGTAAAAATGATGTATAAAAACACAAATAAACGTAGAAACATCGTTCCTTCCATCTCCACCTCAAATTCATAAAAGGCTTCCCCATAAATTAGTTAGAAGAAGTAACCTGAACTATTTATATGATGAGAAACTAAACAAAAGTCCAAAAACCAAATCCAAAAAGTATATTCTTGAAATCCCGAATACAAAAAAAACGCGCTTCATTTGCAAATAAAATAATAACAATAATAATAATAATAATAATAATAATAATAACAATTGGTCAACTGGGAGTGTGAAAAGAAATCAAAAGCAATTAAACAAAGAAAAAACACACTTCATAACTGGCCATATACGAAAAAAAACCTGAGACTCCAGAATTAAAAAAAGAAAACCACTCTAATTGAATGAAACATAAAAAAGAAATTTAAAAAACCACACTTTGTAATAAAAATCCAATTAATCAATTCAATCCAAACATAACTAAAATCATACAACAATTCTAAGCTAACTAACCAAATAAGAAATCACATTATATTACCTGACAACGGCTACGGTAGCTGTAACGGATGGACGCATAAAAATAATAGTAATAACACTATTCCTGAACGGGAAAAATAAAAAATAATAAAAGCCAAACCAATGATCTGTGGAAATAAAATCATTTAAATTTTAATACATGTAATGCCACCATCACAACGGCCAAAGCAAGATCAATGAGAATTTTTTTTTCCTCTGTGTTTATATAGAGAGGTAAAGAGAATATTTTTTGAAGTTGAAATTTTATCCGATTAGGATGTAGTTGATCATCACTAATGAAAATATTGAACATGCTAATAGGAAAGGAGTATATTTCACCACATACTCTCAATTGATGATTGATGAAGAATTTATTTATTTTTAATTGTGGAGAAGAGATTGATTAGGGAGTCGATTGTCGTGGAGATGGGGATAAGGATTTGGATTTTTTATGAACCCGTGATTTTTTTTTGACGAAAATAGGAGGTGGAGGTGAATTTGGACTGCATTTGCCTTTTAAGTCTAGGAGATGTGAAAATAAAAATTTATTTTAAAAATATGATGTGGAAATGTCACATGGCAAATGGTATTGCTTTCTCTTAAGTGTGATTTTTGTTTCTAATGTAGTAAGATATATTGTTCTATATATATATTTTTTTTTTGGACAAACAAACTAATTTATTGCTATCTTCACGAGGCAACTTATTATTACGATATCAAATAAATGTAATCATGTTCGAGTTGGCTAGAATGGATTGCTAGGAATCAGTCCAACTGTTATTTTACTTTATTGAATTTTGTTTTCTCGGGTAAGAGATTAAAAAAAAACAAAGAAAGTGATTTCT